ATAGATAAAAAAATAATTTAATAAAATGTATAAAAAATAAAAAATAATTTAAAAAATATAAAAAAATAATTTTAACCTGAATTTAGAATTGTTAGAACCCAATACAGGTTTAATTTAGATTCATTTGAACCACATTTGGGTTTGGTTGAACCTAATTTGGGTTCATTGGAAATGGGTTTATTTGACCCCAGTTCAGGTTCTTTGACTCCAGTTCAGGTTCTTTTGAACCCAGTTTGGGTTCTTTTGAACTTAATTTGAGTTCTTTGACCCAATTTGGGTTCTTTTAAACCCAATTCAGGTTCTTTGAACCCAATTCGAGTTCTTTGACCCCAATTTGGGTTTTTGAACCTAATTTGGATTCTTTGAACCCAATTTTGTTTTTTTAAACCCAATTTGAGTTCTTTAACCCCAATTTGGTTTTTTTTAAAACCCAATTTGGGCTCTTTTAAACCCAATTCAGGTTTTTTGACCCAAATTTGAGTTCTTAGATCCCAATTTAGATTCTTTTAAATAGTTGAGGCTTAAAAACAAAAAATATTAAGAAACTTGAACCCAGGCAATGCAAAGTTCTAAAGCTATTGCAATTTAGGCTTAAGAATTAGCAAAAAATTAGAAACTCGAACTCGAGACAACACCTGGGTCTTAAAAACTAATAATATTGAGGTCTAAGAATTGCCAAAAAATTAGAAACTCAAACCCAAGACAACAAACACCTGGGTTCTAAGAGTTAATATAATTTAAAAGCTAATATAATTGCAGACTAAGAATTTGCAAAAAATTAAAAACTCAAACTCAGGCAACATTAAGACCTAAGAATTGGCAAAAAATTAGAAACTCAAACCCGAGCAACGCTGGGTCCTAAGAGCTAGTAACTACAGAACCTTATATATGCATGCCAATATTTATTTAAAATTTAAACCCACTTACTTTGCAGATCTTTATCAAGTTTTTTTTAAACTTTCATAATTTTTTCTTTTCTTAAATTTGCGGCTATTATTAATAGGAGAAGTTGTATCTTGAGTTTCGAGCATATCCTTATCAAGTTTTTTTAAACTTTTATGATTTCTTCTTTTTTTAGATTTGTGGATATTATTAGTAGAAATTATATCTTGAGTTTCGAGTATCTCAATTTCACCAATATTAAGTGCTGATTTTATATTTTTTAAAAGATAGTTACTGACAAGTTTAATATGATATAGAATAATAATAAGATAAACAACTTACCAATATTTTTTTCTGATAAATTTGTATCACATTCATTAAAATTAATAGGTGAATTGTGATTGATACAGGTTCCTTTTGTAGCTTTTTTACTATTGTTGTTCAAATCACTTTTATCAACATCGATAAATGCATTATGATTAATATGTTTTCTATATTTAGGTTTATAGCTACTATTAGTGCAAGCAGTTGTATCTTGAGTTTTGGAAATTTCATCAACATTAAGTGTTAATTCTACAAGTTTTAAAAATAATCATTGCAAGTTTAATACAATGTAGAATAATAATAATAAAATAACAATTACCAATGTCTTTTTCTAATAAATTTGGATCACTTTCATCAACATCGATAGATGCATTGTGATCGAATTGTTTTTTTTTTTTAGTGTCATTCAGATTACTTTCATCAATATCAATAGGTGCATTGTGATTGACTTGGTTTTCTTTTTTAGTATCTTTATTATTGTCAGTCGGATCACTTTCATCAACATTAGCAGGTGCATTGTAATCGACTTTTTTTCCTTTTTTAGTTTTTTTTTTACTCGGTTTACTGGCTCTATTATTAGTAGAAGAAGCTGTATCTTGAATTTTGGGTATCTTGCAAACGTTAAGTGCCAATCCTATCTCTTAATTAGTAGAGATTTGCAGGCAAATTTGCCTGCATAATTACTATAAACATGTCTCTGATCTACTTTTTTAATTATTTAAAATATTTAAATAAAATTTAACATAATAATATTTGAAAATAAGGATT